TGCCATGGAGGCACCTTGTAAGCAAATACCTATTGAAGTCCCCAACGTCCCCTCGCTCCTTCCTTCTCCCATGCCTGGCTCTGACCGAGGAGGGGATAACGTATGCTTGCAGCAACGCTGACAGAGAAGATCTCAACAAGCACGCCGAAAAGGAGTTTTCAAAACTTGAACCCTGTTTTTTCCTTTTTTAATTTCTCTGGAATCTCTTTGCACGGCACGAGCTGCGCTGGTTTGCAGCAGCGTAAGCTCTCGGTGCCTGAAAGTCTTCCTCCTGGGGGAAGAAACACTTGTTCGTGTAACAAATGGGATAAGAGTTGAAAGGAGTATTTGTTTTGGCGAGCTGCTTTTTTTGTTGTTTTTTAATCTGGGCTTGTGATTTGTATATGGGAGAACTTCTTGGGCAGTAGACAGGCGGACTCGATAAGGCGCTTGTGATTTATTGTGGCGATATCTGAGCACGATATCGCCCTTTGCGTGTGTATGGGAAGGGAGAAGGAGGGTCTTGTCTTTTTTTAAGAGAAATCCCATTTCCTGAACATGCGTCTGACAAAGTAAGAATATCCGATATTGATCGGGAACCCTAAAACGGGGGAATCTTGTAGCAGCGCTCGGCAGCACGGGGTGAAGCCGACAGCGGAGATGCTATCTCACAGGTCATAGCTGCTGCCAGCGATTCAAGTGCCAAGCTGCTGCTTCCAACAAACGTGTCTCCAAAAGTCCCGATCTCGCCCCGCGACGACACTGACTGTCCTGTGGGACTCCTGCTTCACGCAGAGCAGCGAGGGCTGCAAAACTGGCATGAAGTTAGGCACAGCTTCTGGGTTGGCTTTCCCTGAGAGGAGAAGGTGAGGAAGAGGAGTCGCATCTCCCCAGACGCTCTGGGCGTGCTCTTATCTTGGCTCTTCCTGTTGACAGCCTCCAAGCTGTCTCCCCTGCTTTCCTTTCTGCCCTCCTGTTGCATTTTTGCACCGAGGGTCCGATTCAGGAGCAAATGTCCCATCCTAACTCCCTATCTCTCATGTGGCTGGACCAGGAGCCGCTGAAGGAGGGGGTCAAAAGCAGCCCTGCTTTCTTAGGACCTTTGATGAGAGGTGTCCCAAAACCCCAGCAGAAGTAGTGGCACCAGTGCAGGTGTATGTGGGGATGCTGCCCGTCCCCAGAGCTGCTGGAGGGAAGAGGGGACGGGTGCCGATGCATATGGCTCGCATGTGACATCTCAAGAGCCTGCCTTTCCTGAAAGCCCTCCAACATATGGTTTCTCCTCCCAGCCCTGGGGATGGAGGGGAGGAGGGGAGAAGAAAAATCCCACCTTTTAACACGGTCTGAACATCCCCCGCTCCCCATAAAAGCCCGTCTGATTTATTGCGAGTGCTGGAGCTCGTTCCAGCTTCAGGAGGTGCTGGAGACTGGAGGTGGGCTGGAGGCTCAGCAGCCAGCCGGTCGCAGCTCACGGGGTGATTTCTTATCTCTGTAGGAAATTAAAGCACTGAACTTAAGAGGGCAAAGCCAGAAAGATGATGGGAGATGCAAAGCACTTCTCCTCAATCCTTTCCGTGCCAGCCATGGGAGTGGGTGAGGTTCCCGGTGGTACCACCCCAGCCAGTGCCCTCCCCATGCCAGGAGACCAGAGGATGGAGAGGGTTCTTCTGCTCCATAATGCAGGCACCAGGGACCTGCAAGGGACATCCCTGAGTGCTGCAGGCATGGACAGACTGGTTTTGAGAGGATTTAGAGGGCCTGATCTTGTCCTGGCATGGTGGGGCATCACACCGGGAGCTGAGGAAGGAGTCACTGGCGAAGCTTAGGTTGCAGAAACCCTGCACTGCTGCCCTGGGGGTGCATGAACCCCCCCAGCCCTGCACATTCGGATGTTTGACAAAGGGAAAAAGTGATATGGACCATTCCAGGGAGCTAACGGGGCCCAAAAACCCATGGGAGCCAGCTTGGAGGAGAAGTGACGCGCCGGGAAGGGGAGAAGAGAGGAGGAGCCCAGGCTGCAGCTACCGTCTTGCAGGGACAGTCCCTTCCCCGCGCAGCGACCTTTGGGCTGCAGGCCAAGGGAGACGCACCTCCAGAGTCTCCCAAAACCTTCCCAAAACGACAGGAAAGGAGAAGCCCTGGCCACCCTTGGGTTGCCCAGGCATCGCACGGTGCCACCCAGCAGCACGGCATCGGGCTGCGCTCCCGACAAAAGGTGGCCGGCGTGGGTAGATGCTGTTATTTAAATCTCTCTCTTTGTCCCTTTGAGATGAGCAAACAAACCCTCTGCTCGTCCTCCTAAAGGTCATCAGAGGCGTTCCCGCTTTTGTTTGGAAAGCTGGATTGATGCCGGGGTGTCGATCCCTCAAAGGAGGGACAGTGGGGTGCCGGGGAAGCGGAAGAAGGAAAATGAAAAATTGAAAGCAATTAATACCACACCTTCCTGACGCTAAATAAACGGGGAGGGGGAAGGGACCGACACCCCCAGTCAGCAGCCCCGCGCCGTGGCCGTGCCCCCTTCTCCCCGGCGCGAACTCCCCGCGCCGCCCCGTACCCCGCACTGCTGATGAAATGGAAAGTTGACCATAAATCAATGTCGGCGGCTGCGTTAGCTATGCATCAGCGGCTCGGCGCCCAGATGCACCAAAACAAAGCGCCGGCTGCTCGGTGTTCCCACACTGCCCCCTAATGCAGAGAGACCTCGGGAACCAGGGAGGACAGGGGGCTCCGGAGCCTGGGGGGGGCTCCCCCCCAACATCCCCTGCCCTCCCTGCCTCTCCTCCCTGCATCCCGGGATGCCACTCTTTGGGTAAGGTCGCCTGTGGTGGGGTGAGGACGGTAAAGCCAGGGGGAGTAGGATGGTGTCCATGTTGTCCTGCTCTCTCCTTGGATGCCACCATTTTCCCCGACGTCTTGGTGGGATTTGCCACCGCTTGGCGAGTGCCGCCGACTCTGGTCAGGCAGCTCTGGAGGTGGCACGAGAGCCACAGAACCAGGCTGACCTTCCCGAAATCCCGGGACAGAGCTTGGTGTCAGCCTTGCACTGGGCAGGATTTGAAGGAAGGTGGTTTGCAAGCTGGAGGAAAGGAAAGGAAAAGCAAGCGCCGGAGAAAGTTTTTTTTTTTTTTCTGGAAGTTTAGTAGGATGCCCGAGGCTTTTGTACCGAGTGTCTGGAGCATATGGTGGGATTTGCAGTCAACTTTCTCTCGGGTGCTCCAGCCAGATGGAGGTGACTGTTCTTGGCTCCGGCTGACAAGGGTTTGTTTCCTGAAGAGCTTGTGTTAAACATATTCCTTAAAACCAGGCTTCTGCAGTTGGGAGCCCCAGCTGCAGGAGAGGCAGAGCTCCTGCCCACGGCTGCCTTCCACCGTCTGCGGGGGAACTTGGCTTGCCTTGCCTTGTCCTGCCTTGCCTTGCCTTGTCCTGCTTTGTCCTGCCTTGTCCTGCCTTGTCCTGCCTTGTCCTGCCTTGCCTTGCCTTGCCTTGTCCTGCCTTGCCTTGCCTTGTTCTGCCATGCCTTCTGCTGCCTTGCCCTGCCTTGCCTTGTCCTCTCTCTCGAAGGTGCGGTTGGGTCCTCACCCTGCGCCACATGCTGGAAGGCAGCCATGGTCTTCCTCTCCCAAGGCACCTGGAGCATCTCTCCTAAAGGCTTCTTTAGGGGTATCTTCATTTTTTTGTTGCCAACTTGGCAAAACTTCTCTCTCCTTCGATCGAGATGAAGCTCCTATCCAATAAACCTGGGCACATCTTTAACTAATCTCTATCTAATTTATTTTAGTATTTTTGAATGTCCAAACTGGTAGGCAGGGGCAGGTATTTTGGAACACAAGATACCTTCCTGTTGCTAACTGTGAATTGTTGGTATCTCGTGGCAGCAATGCTTGGCCTTCTCGTACCACCCTGCATTGTTCTGCCACCCCCAGAGGTGCTCGAAAATGGTTTTAAATAGAAAAACTCCCCCATTAGCTGCAAGTCTGTAGCCCATAAAACATGATCCATTTGCGGTGAATTACGCTGGAAACATAAATTGACACACGCCGAGCTACGATCGCTCGTGCCATTTTCCATCTTTAATATTTTACAAGAAGTTTGAGGAGTCGAGCTCCTGAAAGACGGAGTGGAAATAACCTGATCGCCTGGAAACTCCCCGTAGAAAGCAGCAGCAGCAGCAAACTTTGGTCATCTGATGGGCCTGGTTGGGCTTTTAAAGTCCTTGTAGTGTCGAGAAGGGAAAAAAAAACCGAAGCAGAGAGGAGGTTGGGGCAACAAAAGCTGTCAGAAACAGTTTTCTCCAATGCCATTTTAGCTGATTGGGGTTGGTTTGGGTTTTTTTTTTTTTGAGGCAGCTACAGGAAGGTGAAGAGTAACCCCTGGTGCAACCCATCCCATTTGGGGCATAAAAATAAAGAAAAAAAAGAAAAGTTGAGAGATGGTGGGGTTTCTCTGGTTGGGGAGAGCACTGATCTTGGGATGAGAGTGGATTAACCGCCGGGCAGCGGTGTGTCGGACGGAGCTCGGCTGCAGCGATGTGGTGCTTGGGCGTTTGGGACCTGGAGGGAGGTGGTGCGGAGCAAACAGGACTGTTCAGCCTCCCCTGGTGACAACGCTAGTTAATAACTGCTAAATACACATTTTTTAAAGAAAAAAGCGTTGTTCTGTTGGTTGGAGCCCACACGGCATCTCTGCAAAACACTTGTCTCAAGCGCCGCCATCCGTCGGGATCATCTGCCGCTTCCTCTGCAGTGAGGGAAACCCGTGCGAAAAAGCAACTGACCCGGCAGGCGTTCCCGGCCCTGAAACATCTGCAAATATTTACGGAGATAACAATATCCAGAGGGTGTGCGTTTCTGACGGAACCGAGCAGCCATGCCGGGGGGGCACGGGAGGGGACCGCGGCAGTTGCAGCCCGGAGCGAACATTTCGGATGCTGCTGCACGTTGCTGTTTGGAAAAAGCAAGAAAAAGGAGAAAAAAAAAAAAGAAAGAAAAAAGACCCTTTTCAGCTCCTCCCCGCCTGCCGAGATGTTTGTACAAGCTGGACAAGTCTCTGCCGGGAGCGGTACCACGTGGGATAACACGACGGCAAGGATGCAGCGGTGCCGAGCCTGGAGCATCCCGGGGAGTGGCCCTGGGGCGGTGGGGCAGGACCATGCTCCGGAGGGTGCGTTGAGCAGCACCGAACAACCAATGCTCTCCGGATCCGATTGCCACGGGGGATTTTTCTCTGATGGAAATGCCGCCATGTCTCGTAGATGCTTTTTCTACAATAACCGAACGCTGCCTGCTCCGAAGCTCCAAACGCAGCCCCAGAGCATCTCCTCCGGACCCAGCCAGGGTGTGTGTAGGTGGCCATGTCCCCCACGCCAATACCTGTTGACCCCATGCCCTCACACACCGTGGGATACAAGATGGGGGGACGTCAGGGCTTTAACTAGAGCTCCAGGACGGAGTCTGCCTGCTTGGCTGGTCAGCATCTGTGGGTAACAACGACCTCCTCCTTGCCACGCAGCAAGGCAGGTGACATGGGGGACCGCTTGACTCTTGCATTGATGGGACTTGAGGATCAGCCTCCACAAGTCCTGTTTTTTCCTCTTCCACTTGGTTTTGTCGCTCATTCGCCTCTGCCCATCTTCCCTACCCCAAATCCTGCAGCCGTGACGTGTAGGAAGGGCTTTGGTGGTGGCTGGACCTCGTTGAGGGGTGCCGTCCTCCATGAACGGTGGGAGGTGGCCGCTGCCCTGGCAGGCCTCCACAAGTCCTATTTTTTCCTCTTCCACTTGGTTTTGTCGCTCGTTCGCCTCTGCCGATCTTCCCCACCCCAAATCCTGCAGCCGTGATGTGTAGGAAGGGCTTTGGTGGTGGTTGGGACTCGTTGGGCCGTCCTCCATGAACGGTGGGAGGTGGCCGCTGCCCTGGCGTGATTTGCATTCACTCAAGGCAGCATTAGCCCACCTTGGAAGCAAGAATAAGTCAAGTTTCATGCATGGAGATGACTTCTGCTAAAGGAGGTCGATGCTATGGTTGGACCACAGAAGTTTGTCTTCTCCTGTCTGGTGGGACGTGGATGGAGAAGGCGGTTGCGTTGGCACCAGAAGGGTTGTCCAGAGGTGCCGTGACCTCTTCCAGCCAAGGTTCTCCAGGCAGGAGGGGCAGAGGCTGGTTGCCTTCGGCTCCTGGCGAATAAACGGTGGTGTAAACGGTGGGACTTCATTGCCCCGGGCGCAGTGGCTGGAGCAGGGCAGCTGGCAGGAGGCTGCTGGTTTAAATCCGCTTGGCTCCATCTCGCCGCCGAACCCTTGGAATAAAAATAAATTAAAAAAAAAAAGGAGGGGAGGGGGGAAACCCCACCCTCTTACTTTATTTACATTGCACTCAAGTTTCCGCCGTACAAAAGATTTGCAGGTGCAAATATGTCCTGCCTTCATTAACTTCCCCTCCCTTTTTAATTTATGTGATTTCAATTTTCCTTCCCTGTACTGTTAATTAGGGGACCCTCTAATCAGTACCATTATCACAGTGGTATTCATGTTTAGGAAAGCTGCTAAACAAATGCTTGCAAAATTGCTAAATGGCTAATTAATGTCTGTTAATTAAGAAAATTGCTCATGGTAACAAACCATGCCATTGCTGGCAGCAGCTAGAAGGCGAACACTTGTTGAAATTAGTAACAAGGCAGGTAGAGAACATCTGCTCCGGCGCCGGTGCTGGAGCCTGCCGTCACTTCCCAGCACCTCCTGACAAAGCTCCTCTGCTTTCTCTACCGATTACACCTCCTTTGACTCAAAAAATACTTCTTTTTTTTTTTCCCACCCCTTACATTAACACGCATCGGTATATTCTTGCACCGAGCTCGCGTTTTTTCCCAAGAAATTTTCCTTTCATGCTTTTAAGGGAAATTTTTTAAAAAAATAATGACAAAAGTGGGCGTTCGACCCCCGAACGTCCGTGGCTGCAGCATCGTGGCCTTAAACCTGCGCTGACTAATCTCTCCTTTTTTCCCCTAGACGCCCTTTCTTTGCTCGCAAGCCACTTTACTCGCATCCTTAGGGAATCCACCTCGAGGAAGGATGTTCCATCCGTCCCAGCTGGCGATGCGGCCCCGGTTGTGCTGGCCAAACGCTGCCCAGGCGCAAGCTGGGACGTGCTCCTCGTCCTCCCTGCTTGCTCCGGCACCTCCGCTGAACCAGGGTCAAAACAAAAAACCCCAGAGGTGTCTCCAACCTTTGGGATGAGAGAGGAGAAAATTTTTTTTTTTTTTGGTTGGGGAGTATTTTTTTGTATTTCCCCCAGCCCCAGCCTCTCTGGTCCTCTCCTGTGTATTTTTTTCTTCCTCGTTGCCCGCCCTTGCAAAGCGTTTCCCCATGTGTTTATCATTGCAGACTTGGTTGAACTACCGGACTGTTTACCGTCAATGTGGCCGCTGGATTTTGACAGATGTTCTGATTTTTTTAATTTTTTTAAATTTTTTTTTTTTTTTGCATATATCATTATTCATCGTTCAACTCCAAATTACTAGAAACTCAATTAAAAAGAGGAAAAAGAAAACTAAAAATGGGAGAACTGATTTCCCGACAAAACGGGTCCACCCGTGAATCCTTTTTTTTTTTTTTTTTTTTTTTTTTTTTTTTAGCTCTTTCTGCGCTTTCATGTGCTAATCTATAACCTCCTTCTACTGTCTGACCTCACAGGGACCGCCTGGGTCACAGCCCTCGCCACACGCACAGCCTCCACCCCACAATCCTAACAGCATGATGGGACCCCACAGTCAGGTAAAGACACTAGCGATGGGTAGGGCTGTGAACCGGGACGTGCGCTCGATTTGCTTTTTCTTTTTTTTTTTTTTAATTCCCCCTCTTAATGGCCTTTAAAATATATCTCTGACCTTCAAAGGTTTTGTTCTGTCACTGCTGTTCACCCATTCTTAAACTTACTCCACAGTGAAATATTGGGGGTTTTTTCCTTTTTTTTTTTCTCTTTTTTTTTCTTTTTTGTTTTTTTGGATGTGCAGTTATCAATGGACTGAGAAGTCAATCATGGGTATCAGACTGTTTTACCTTCCCAAGGTAGCCTGAGAAGTTTAACTTGATGTGGGTTTTTAAGCTTCTATTAGTAGCAGCAGTTGTAAAAGAGAGTAACTTTTAAGTCTTCCTCCTTTTTTTTTCCAGTACTTAGCATTGGGGTTTTTTTTGTGTGTGCGTGTCTGTATGTGCTTATTTGCCACTTTTTTAATATATCTCTCTATATATATTTAAACTGGAACGGTATCTAACACTCAGGGTTTCCCATGCACTAATTTTAACAGCCTCACCTAGCATTGCCGATGTCAAACGCTCTCAAACAATAAATCTGCAGAGAAAACGTTAAAAACGGACTCCGGACATCTGTTTTTTTGGTGTTTTTTTCCCCTTTTTTTTTCCTTTTGAAACTTAACTTTTTTAAAAAGGATGTCTCCAGAAAAAAAAAATAAAAAAAATAATGAAACCAAACAAAACGAAAAGCGGTGCGTACAGTCTAACCGGCGTGCGTGGGGAGCGTGCCGCCTCCCCGCAGCGCGGCCCTGACCTCCCTTTTGTGTCCCCGCAGCCGTTCATGTCGCCGCGCTACGCCGGAGGTCCCCGGCCCCCCATCAGGATGGGCAACCAGGTACTGCGCTCCCGGGCTCCGCGCCGGTGGGTTTCCTGGGGATGAGTTTAATTTAGGGAGGGGGACAAAGGGCCAGGTGTCCTGCAGATGCTTCTTGGGTTCGGATGGCAGGCGTCGCCTCCCTTCGAGCATCCTCCGTTTTCTTGGTGCTGGGGCATCAAATGTCACGTAACCGTGTTATTTTAATTCTGTTTTGAGGCTGGGGTGTAAATGGCGGTGGGGAATGTGCCACTTTCTATTGGCAGTGGTTTCGGCATCACCGTGCCGTGCCGCGTGCGCACTGCCTGGCTGGATTTTCCCTGCAATCGCAGAAAATTAAAGTGATGGAGATAATCCTGCTGCTGGGTTGACCGAGCGCTTAGATCAGCGGCGGGGTCGAGCAAGGCAGGTCACTGCTGAATTTTTTTTGGGGGGTTAGATTTATCCTCTTATCCCAGCTTAAACAAGGGCAGTTTGTTTCTGGCCCTACGGATGGAGGCTTCCACCCAACGCACTGCCTGAACGCATGGCCTTTGGTTGAGGAATCCATCCCATTCCCAATGATGCCATGCGGATGCATAGGGTAAAGACGGAATTGGAGGTTATTTGTCATGAAAGGGAAATTAAAGGCAACCTGTAATTTCTTTGCGTAGCAAAGGCGACTGCAAAAATTATCTTGGGAGCTTGTGTTTTTTTGGCTAACTTATTTTTATATAGCTCTTGTTAGCAGAGAGAGCAGAACAGTCAGGCAATGGGATGTAGCAGCTTGCTTCGTCTTTGTGCTTGCTGGATTTGAGACTTGAATCGCTGGAACTTGCAAAATGATGGTGAGACAGCTGAGACGTAGCTGAGAAAAACTCAAGGAGAGGGGGGGCTGATGTAGGATCCCCAAGCCCAGCTGGGCTGGAAGAGCCTCCCACAAAGTGGCTGGTTTAGCAAGGTATTAATTAAGGGCACCTTCTCAGGGGACAGTTTTAGTGGGCCCCGTCCAGCTGTGGCCCTGGCTGGTACCAAGGATGGCTGGAGGTGAGCTGGAGCAGGCAGGAGAGGCAGGGGACCAGTTTTGGGGTGGCTTCTCTTGCAGCAGGGTTGAGCATCCAGGAGTGGGTAAAGTTGGTCAGAAAGATTGCTTTTTTTTTTTTTCCTCCCAACCACCATGTATAAACCACAGGTTTGTCCCCACTCAGAGCTCAGCGAGGTTATGGTCACATCCAAAGGGACAAGAGGAATAAATAGGCAGGCAGGAAGGTCAGGTGGCAGGAGTGTAAATATCCATCACTACAACCCCTCTGGTTTATCTTCCTTCTGCTGCCAGCTTCCAAGCTGCAAAACAATTGGGACCGGGCAGATTCCGGCAGTGGGATCTGCCTGTGTCAGTGTTCAAATAAAAGGCAGCGCTGTAGCATAACTGTTTACAGTTTGTTTCCCCCAGGCAGATGGTATCTGCGTTTTTCTCCCCCTTTATCTGTTGGAGCAGCCTTTGAACTTTAAATAGCCATGTTGCCTGAGCAGAGCTGGGTTTGGGGAGGGGGGAGCATCCGCCTTCCCCTCGTGCCTGCACAGGGACAGGTCTGAACACTGGTCTGCTGCAAATGGAGCATCTCCCTGCCAGCAGCTGATGAATTGTTACAACCTGGCTGGTTTGGCCCTGGCATTGTGGAAAAAGCGGGGAGCCAGGCTGCTGGTCTCCTTTCTCTGCCAGCTTTGACACCTCTGCCCTGCATAGCCCGGGCTTTGCTCCGCTCCCCTGAAATATGGCAGCCTGATGGCACACGGGCTGCAGGGAGGGGGGAAACACTGGCACCTTGTTTGGTTTTTAGAAAGTGTTTGCGCCCAAAGGCTGTAGGAAGATGCCTGGTATGCGGGATGCAGTGGGATGTGGGATGCTTGGGCAGCCGCAGGTTGAGCTGCGGC